TAAAAGCTGACTTGATATCATCCCTATAACTTATCTTAACCCAAGATTTTATAATGAAGATATTTGTCTATCTTGTGACTATTGAATTGTAATAAAAACAAGAGTATGTACGCAAGAATAAATTACGAAACAGGATTATTTGTCAGTCAGTCAGTTAGCAACAACATAGAACTTTGTACGTACGTATATCAGTTGGAGTTGCCATACCGCATTAGCACAGAGATGCAGTTGTCGATTCAAATCCCATAGTGAGAGTAAGCAGTAATCGGAAAGATTAGGGTTTGAAGATGTTATTTAAAGAGTATAATCTAGTGAAATAAATTTGGAAAGAAAAAAAGAAGGTACATGAAGAATTCAGAAGATTATAATTTGGGAGAACACAAAGATTGAATGCACCTGCGCCATTGCAAACGATTTTGAGCCATGCCATTCAAGGTCTCTAACCATCGGTTGCTATCGTCTCGTGGTCCCCAACCAGGTAGTCTACACCTACCAACATGACTCAGTCCACTTGTCAGTGACTTCATGGACATGTGCCATGTTTTGGTCTGACCGCCCCTAGCTTTCTTCCAATCTACTCCTATACCACTGAACATAGCACGTCGAGGCAGTCGGTCGTTGGGCATACGTAACACATGTCCCAGCCATCTCAACTCATGAAGTTTCACTACTTCATCAACTGATTTGCCATCCTTACCTAGTACCCGTTTCCTAACAACTGCATTACTTACTCGTTGGTCTCAGGATATAAGAGCAATGTTTCGAAGACACCTATGATCTAATACTAGTAACCTACGAATATTCTCTATCTACTCTTACCGGCCATCTTTCACTGCTATAAAGTAGGACGGAATGAACTGCTGCACAGTAAACCCATCCTTCGGTTGGTAGACATATATCTCGCCTATTTCATCAATGACGCAAATCGGCAAAAGCTAGTCGAGCCTTCTGTATCCGTGCTGAGATTTCGTCACACACCAGACCACTAGGGCTGATAAGACTCCCTAGATAAGTGAATCCGGTCGACTCGCTCAACTACTTCACTCCTTATCAGGTATCGATGAAACCCAATCCTGAAGGATTATTTGTAAATATATTGAAAGAAAAAAAAAAGTGAAATAATGTACATATTACACAAATTAGATGTTACGCCTACATATATATTGACTAAACATCATCTAAACAAACTGTTATAAGGAATTGAATTATTTTACATCATAAATCATTCCCATTTAGAAATAAAATATAAGTCAGGGTGACCTTGAACTTTAAATTTCACTCTTGAAGGTTCATTTAAAACAAATATGTGATATAAAAAGATAAACAATCATATGAACTATATTCTATGTAATAAATATAAATAGTGAATTGAAGAATTCATTAAAAGGGGTTTTTGTGGATATTATAGTAATTTAATAGTTGAATTCATGAGTTAATTGAAGCTAGATCACTATGGAAAATTTGGAAGCACTGGACGGCCGTTTCGTCCTAGTCCTAATCATTGCCTTCTTGTGGCATTACTTTTGTTTACGAAATTGAAAGGAAGAAAAGCGAATTTCCGGTGCGGTAATCGGAGATGGTGGAAAACCCTGACTCCAAACCAATGGTGCACATGGGCTCCAGGATCCTGAAGGGACAAATGGTGTATGAACCAATTATTGGTCACCAACTACCATGGAACTGCATCTGCTGACGTTGCTACACTGCGTTGTGGATTAGATATGTAGGTCGAAGGCTCAGTGGTATGCCCCCCTAAGAAAACCACCTGTTTCGGTTCGAACACCCGGATAGTACCACAGCCCTCACACAAATCAAGTGACTCATGTGGCGCATATATATTCAGTGCCCCTCTGTACCAATACTCATGCGTTAAAATAATAATAAATGACTTTCTTTTTCTATAACGATAGCATCAAACATGAAATAAATCAATCTCATATACTAGTGTTCCGTAAAGGTTCTTACTAATTTTTAATCATCTAACATTTCAGTAAACAATATATACAAATGTTATGAGAAAAAATGAAGAAAACTCTCTAGACATCAGGTTATGTTGTCATATAGATCATTGCGGAAAAAATAGCGTTTTTCTCCTGGTTAGCGTTTTGTTAGCGAGCTAGTTTTCTACGGGATAAGGTCGCTAACCCCATGCCTAACCCTCTTCCTTTATCCGGGCTTAGGACCGGCAGTATCCCTAGAGGGATTCCAGGTAGCCTATGCTTCATTGGGAGTAAAAGGCATAAGTAAGTGGAAAAAATAAAGTGATTAATCCAACCTAAAATTCATAAACAATATCAATTTCAGATTTTATCGAAAATAATAATTACTATCTTAGCAATAATTCCAAAAACAACAACAACAACAACAAAAAGAAAATATAGACAGATGGACACACATTGAACAGACAGATAGATATAAAACAAAACTATCATAATAGACATAGCAACTAAAATGTAAACACATGAACAAATTAAAGTCATATGACTATAGAATGGAATTGTAACATGTGATGTTTAGAATATGAGTAAAATTAAATAAAACCTTATAGGGGAATACATTAAATTGTTTACGTTAAAACAAAATAAAAAAGTATACACTTATAACTTGTACTAATTCCCATTGTATGTAATGAATTCTAACTCGACCTGTAGCTCTTCTAGTGTGACTGCCGGTCCCAAGCCCGGGTAAAGGAGGAGGATTGGACATGGGGTTAGCAACCTTATCCCGTAGAAAACTAACTACCTAGAAAAAACGCTAACCATAAATATAATGAATTCTACTATGATATAGTCTAATATATTAGGTATATTGTCAATATATGAACATTGTCTTTTTTATCCATCAACTGATGGATTTCAGAAATTATGGCATATATATGACATTACTTCATTTCACTTTATGGAATAATATCTCTGTTTAGTTTCTAACTGTTAAACGATGATCTATAAATATCCGGTGGTCAATCTGTTATGAAGACTAGAATTCGGACACTCACTCCAATAAACATATTACCGACATCATTACTTAGTTTACACACGAACACAGACAGCTTTTATAGATGCTTGTAGTACGGTAACACAAATACATTATGAAAACTTGTAATACATTAAAACATGTAGAACTAGATTAGCTACATATCTATTACTTTAATAATCATACACCCAATTTCTAACAAGAAATTATGAACTATGAAAAAAGCAACTTCACAGTGTAAATAAATACGGACACATACGAGAGTCCTTAGATAAGGCCCCCAAATGACCTGGTATGGCCGAGATTGAGGTGAGCCCTCCCTCTCGAAATGCTCTCACATGAACACACACACAGCCTCTGCCAGGGAAGTCATATCCACTGCCTTCTCGTCGCGGGGGTGTTGCTTACGAAAGTGAGAGGACGAAAAGCGAATGTCCGGCGCTTTAACCGGATTTCAAACCAATGGTGCACATGAGCTCCAGGATCCTGCGGGAACAAATGGTGTATGAACCAATTGTTGGTCACCGGCTACCATAAGACTGCATCTCCTTACGATGCTCCACTGCCTTGTGGATCAGACCTTTAGGTCGAAGGCTCGGGGAGTGGCCCCCTAAGATAACCACCTGGTTCGGTTTGGGCACCCGGGCAGTGTCACAGCCCTCACACATATCGAATGAGATTTGTGTGACGTATATGTATTCGGTGCCTCCTTGTACCAATATCTATGTGTTAAAATAAATCAATAAAATAACATTCAGTAGTTGCCCTAAATACATCAAATTTACATTGGAATCAAAATTTCATTTCCTCGATGTTTCATTAAATAGAAGACAAGATGGTACATTACGGAAGGTCGATATAAAGAAAACCAACTTGGAATGGATTATATACCAATAGTTACGGCTGGATCTCTTTAAATAGAAAGAGAAAACTAATTCAATCTTTATCATCAACGGCTAAGTGAAAATGCTCGAATAAAATGATAGACGATGAACTATCCAAACTCGACAAATATTTCTGAAGAACGGCTATCCATTCAGCTTTGTTGACCGGTACATCAGACCTAGATTACAATCTACAAGACCTCACACCGTTCCTGAGAAAACTCTCTCCGTGAAAATCAAGTTCAAGGGAAACATCACTGTGGAAATTTTGATGAATCACCTACAGAAATCTCCGGGAAAGCTTTTCATACTACCAAGCTTCGAATTGTCTTTTCCAAACGTCCCATCATCCGTCGATGTGTCAACAATAAATCCTCGTATTGGGTCATTTCAATCTGTTTAGGAATCCACCTGCTCTTATGGAGCAGGTTACATCGGCCACACAAAGCAAGCGCTCCCCACACCTATCTCCAAACATAATCCTGAGTAGCTAACGGAAGGTTAACGTAGAACAATCAACACTTCAATATTAAAACAATCTGTGAATTTCAGTCACATCGCCTTACTTGATATGTTCTTTCAAATAATCTAAACGGTCAAAAAGATTTGGCTCGATATCAGCGCTAATTATTAACATAAACACTGCAGAAGCCCAAGCAATCCATCTTCTCGAAAGTGAAATCTGTGGGCAAAAGAGACACGTGAAATCCATCGTTCTTTCATGCAGCTAACACTTTATTGTAACGAACGGCTATTTCATTTTATTACATCCTTCTAAAGTCTTTAATATCAATTTTAATGATTAGTTATTAAAAACTGCACGTTTCTAAGTCACTCTTCCTATACTCGTCAACTGAAAAATCATTCCCCCTAAAATAAATTCCATCTTAACAGCAATATCAACAAGGAGAAACACCGATCCGAAACACAACAACACACCAAATATTATTGTCTAGAAGTTCGGTTTATGGACATCTAGAAAATCCCAGACGCTTGCACAAACGTCTTAATCAAATGTGTATACTGATACTGGACACTACAGTCACGTCCAAGCATACCCTCAAACATTTCCCACGGCTTAGTACCAACAGTTTTGTCTAACGATGACAAATACCCAAATAAACAGCGATATTAAAACAATTTGAGAGAAAATCGTAAGATTTCAAATCCGCTACATTTTCAAACTTGGACACCATACTGTATCCTTTAGAATAGGGAAAACCCCACTATTTCAAGGAAAAAATAAATATATTTACTTACATAATTCAGGTACATAAACATATGCATTTAATTAATTACGCAAATAAGTGGCTGAATACACAAATAAAGAAACTATACAAATCATAGTAAAATTAACAATGATTATTGTTACCAGTCTTATTGACACTGGCAAATTACACATCATAAAGACAGTTTCACCACAACACAGAAATAAAACTCCAACACACACACATATACACGAACTGCTCAGCATCATCAATCTAACAGATACACATTCAGTAGACATATTAATATTCCATAAATACGGACGACGACAAGGATGATGACAACAGAAAATCATTGGAAAATTAGTCAATCCATCAACACACACAGTATGTACACAAACAAACAGACACGCACAAACACAAAGTCAATGTGATGAGGAGGATGAAGAAGTAGAATGTCAGTAGTTTACCGGCTGTTTTTGTTGAGATGAGAAGGCAAAATCAAATCAAAGCTAAGAAAGGAGAAGTATGACAAAATGCATAAATTTCATCACTAAGAAAATGAAAACAACAAGTCCCCTTCATCATATCAATCATGAGTTGTTAGTCAGCGTAGTTGTCGTTGCTGATACCGTTGGGCTATTATTGACAGCGGTGTGTGTATTGGTGTTGGTAGTAGGGGTGATGGGGATCGAAGTACTCGGTGTGGTTGACATTGTCGTCGCTGTTGCCGCCGCCGCCACCGGCGCAGCTGTTGTTGTGGTAGTCGTTGTCGTTCGATGTACCGGATCATGAGCGAACAGTGGAAAATCATTAGGCACTGGGATTAGTGGAACATAATTAGCTGGAATGTCTTTGAATACATCCACAACACCAATACAATCGATATTCGACGCCAATGTTTCACGCGTTTTCATTTCCCAATCAAGTTTCTGCACCATCATTAGTGACTCAGCTTCATGAAGTTGTCGACAGAGTAATTTCTTCTAAATACAAAAATGTACAAGCAAAAACACAGATGAGAGTGAGAGGAGGACACCATGAATAGATATAAAGCACTAAGTGTTGTTGTTACACTCTACAGTACACACGCAACGATCGATCCGCAACGTCTTCACATACACAACCAAACTTCATTAGCCATCCGTAACACCCCAGTCACAGTCGTGAAATCCTACCCCTAGACTCAATTAACAGAGTGTAGAGATTTCATCCATAGAGTATTCTTACTGACTGAATTAACCTTTCATCTGCCAAGTGACATAGTGAGCCAATCAGAAGTGGCCAACCCAAAAACTCACTCAATCACATTCAGAACTAATATGGAGGACTAGTGTATATCACTCATTCAGAAATGGATTGATTTTCTACAGGATATATAAAAATGAGTATTTGTGCATATCATTCGGTAGGGCAAAGTACTTTCCCGTCCAATCATGTTTTTTCGCTTAAGTAGGCAGGTCGGGAGTTAGCATATAGCACATCGTGTATCAACATCAGATTTCCGACACTGTCCATCATAACAACAAAACACCTTATTTACTTATAGGTTAACACTGTTTATATGATAAATGCTCTTTTATATAGTCTCATTTCATTGTCAAGATGCTTGACTTTGTCGTCTGTACCAATATTTCCATTCATCCATCGTACCTGACAAATTCCTTCATGTTGTTATTTCACCGCAAAACAATTTCAACCATATTAATCAACCAACCATCAGTTTGACTTCAAAACGTTCAGAATTATCAGGTAACTTCACAACCCCCAAATAAATGACAATCAAATTATGCTTCAGCTCACCTTTTCATTCTGAAATGTATCGATAATGTCTTGAAGCCAACCGATAAATGTACGAGGGGTGAAACGATCGCGTATATTCTCTTCTTCCTGTAAACACACCAAAACATACACACAAAATTAGAGAATATGTACATATATAAACAGATAATACAACAATGTAAAAAGATACCTATGATGAATAGCAACTTACAATCATAAATACTATTTCATCTGCTTCAATTGCACACAACTGATAAAGCCCACAGTTCAAACAATCGACAAGCAAATTTCAAACAAATAAACAATGTTGCTTTTATGCAACATCCACATCACCACCACCACCACCACTACAAATATACAACTACAATAACACTGTAAATCACCAACTAAGTAGACACACTCATGTACGCTGTCTTCAGCCAAACCGTTGTTCATAATACGTAGGAGAATTAGCTCGTACAGCAGGTAGGTACTACTCTCTGCCATCAGATGTCTCATACTGCACTACTACACGGAGTGAGCTGATCCCCATCTCAACAATCCAAAAGATTTAATCTCAACAAAATAACGTTCAACAAACCATCAGTATTCTTCTTCTCATTCATAGCATGTACAATCGAATACAGTGAACAATTAATTTGCTCGGACAGCAGCAAAACAAAATTACGTTTAGAAAACCATAATACACAACAAAATCCAGTTGTGAAAATTACTCAATTCAACTAACTACAGAACCAGGGAACATCAACAACAGTCATACACAACAACACAACACACAGTTGACGATAAAGTTCAAAACAAAACAACCACTCACAGCAACAAGTAGAAGTCACAAAGACAACACTATTCGCGATGGTTCACATTGAAGCATACTTTGTAACTACTAATACGACTACTACTCATTAACAATTACACAATTTCACAAGAAACAAGATTAGGAAACAGAAAATTCAACTGGATAAACGAATCCGAATGTACCGTTCAAAACATACACCATGATGGTTTTCAATTATCGATCAGCATCACCATGGTATCAAATTTTTCCTACTCGAATGCTTCATAAAAATATTTAATACGCTTTATGTAGCCCAATTCATGGCGCACTATTGTGCTTAGCTATTCCTTCTGTGGTGCTAATAATCATTATTACAATATAATAGTTAGAAAAATATATGATGTAATATCTTACACACGAACAGTTTCTTACAACCAATCAAATATGGTACGAAACACTCGGGTATTCATAGTTCTTAGTAAAAAAGAAAATAATCACTAAAATCATCCAATCCGCATGCAGTGGTTTTTAGCATTTGTTCAGTCGGGAAGCCACACGTCGACATCCTAGAATGTTCTTCCAAAAGATGATTAGATGGAATGTCTTCGGCTTCCTTGAGTTCACCGAGAGCCATCTACACAGTGAGGAAGACCAATTTATTGTCTAATGTAAAATTACAGAGTTCTTTCGTGAAATGTGAAAACTATACATTTCTCCACCATATCAAATAGTTCCGTTGCGAGTACTCCATCAATCAGCCTCTACATCCTTCATGATTGTTCCACTTCCCAATTCCTCCATATTTCTCTTTCTCTTTTCTTCAGTTCAATCTTCCCTACCTTCTGCTATCAGACATTTCATATCTGACTGTTGTTACAACACACTAATTACATCTGTCGACATAAGTAGCATACACCACAAATGTACATATGAGTCGACAAACACAACATATGCGCCTACACATATTTTAAACAATGGAGAGCAGAATTTCAACAAACTCGTTCTCCGTTTTGCAGTGGAATAAGGATCTTCATCTCATTAAAAGACCACAATCTCACAATATATCATGTCAACAGTAGTAACGATAACAACGAAGTTAAGAAACATACAGAAAACTCCAAAAACCAAGTCACATACGAAATCAACTTTACAAAACAATACACGGAAAACTAAACAAACCCACTCAACACAAGTCGATCATTTTGAAAACATTCTTCATTAACTCCCAGCACCAACACATTAATCTCGGCTTCACAACACACACACACACACACAGACACACTGCATACATACAAAACTAACATAAACCATATCACCAACAGATGATAAATATAAAGGATTGACAACATCTCACCACCTTCCAATATTCATATTCACATTGCCGACTAATATGACAACACATCACTGACTCGTTTCATAAACTCGAATTATATAAACATAAACAAACAAAACAGAGAAAACAAATATACTACTATTACTCACTCGATTCTCTAATTTCCCAACTGGTGGAATATACGTCAAATCATTATAGGATAATATTGAACAAAACGAATATGGTTTCGATTGATTAGCCACTGCTAAAGCACCACGTGTTTGAGCACGTAAAACAGCTTGTTCTGCGCCCAGTTGTAAGTGTTCCTTCAATCAATAATAAAAGGCTAGAAAAAGTCAGCTGAAATAAACATTCAGTGTATTTCAAACAAACATTTGTCATTATCATAAGCATACAGATCTGAAATCAACTAACGATTATGAAAATTACAATCCAAATGAAAAAACGTTGGCAAAATAATCCACAAATATCAACATTACGTTAATTCCGTACCAATTTCCCCATCATTGACATACAAATACAGTCTATTCTCTTGTCCATACAACAAAATAAAACATTTCACATTCATCAAAATCATTTTTACAACAGTGAACAGTTTAAATTCACTTGGTATTGTTTGGCTTGTATCTTCCTATTGAGGTTTGAGACTGCAATTGATCAGTCTGTTATTGGCATATGTGCATACCGTGCGTATCCCTCGATATTGCTTTAATTCACAAGCTTTTTGTAAGCAATGATGGATAGTGGCTAGCAGTGGAATCCAGGAAGCGTGTTTCGTGGACAGTTTATTCCCTACTGCTCTCGTCAATGATCTCCAAGTCACACTTACTATATGTTATATCTTTTACTTTAACAACTCTGTCGTCATTCAAATCCACATACACAACACAATGCTTAGATCACTACTACTAAGTATTGACAAAATATTTCACTTTCAATCACTCTATTTCTAATCATGCCCACACACAAAATACGCATCCAACACAGTAAATACCAACACTTACTCGTTCTGATTGGTGTTTCAATGCCTGAGCATAGCGTTCTTCTTCTTGTTCATTGAACAATTCCACAAACGTCGCTTCCAAATGACTTGGTGCTGACTACATGATAAACAAATAAGACAAACAAATCGATTAATAAACAACTCACAAAAGAACAAACAACGTTCTAAATGACTCATAGAATAAACTGCCTCAATGTTTACACATCTCATTCACGGCTGGAATAACCACTAAATCGTAAAACATCACAATGTTTCAATCTTCACTTACTCATTCTAGTACATAACTTGACAATCAAGGTCACCCTAATAGTTAACAGTGTAGGCACTCATCCATGAGTGAGTGCAATCACACAACAGGTCATACAGCTCACTGGAATGATCAATTAGTCACATATCATCAACGTAGTTGGGACATCCACAAACCTCTATTTTTAATTAGATTATCATCATGGCTCTACACTAATATATATCACTTACAATAATGAAATAGTACTCGTTGAGTAGTTATGTTACAGAATAATTGTATAATGACACATTAATTATAAAATAATATTGAGTAATTGAAAGGAAGGGGATCATAGTAATCAAAGTAACCAATCGGAAATTTGAACAGGTACTGCAATGCACAATATACAAAAAGAAGGGACTAACAGAATATTTTGATGAAAGGTCAGTATCATTGTAGTTATGTAAGAATCTAGAGACGATTGTTGAGAATATGTAAAAATATAAACGTGGAAGAAATTGAAAAAATAGTTCAAATATTTTTGAAGGAAAGGGTTACAAAAAAGTTCAGCTACAAATTCACTCCTATACCGATGGACAAAGTGGTGAGAATGGTTGTACAAATCTCTTTCGGATGTAAAGGTTTGATTTATAAATATGGATTCCGATGGCTTCAGTGATATGCAACAGACGAACTCGTAAACCATGTGGTAAATTTGATGGAATATAGTAAACAACCTTAAAAGTTTTATTCAAGTTAACTTGATGACCTGTGTCCACAAAGTCAGCGAAAATAGGACTCTTAACCACTCTTATCTGTCCTTTGCTCAACCAACACGTACCGTGCTCTGCAATACGATAACGGACTTGCCGAATTGTTCACCCTACATAACTAGTTTCACAGAAGTAGTTGAACTGGTAAATACACATGGATGTGGTGAATTCAGGTAGTCCGTCTTTATTATGAACCAGTTTTAAAAAACACAAACATACACACTTCAGGTCGAAAAACAAATTAGATCGAACAATAAACACTTACGAATGACAATGAGAAACTCAAGTCGCCAAATATCACACCATATTCAACGAATTAACATTATAAATCACCTTCACCAAACAAAACAGTATTTACAACTACTACAAAGCCCATAATTATTGTTTAAATACAACCAATACTGCCACTATCACTACACAACACTCACTCATTACTAAAAAACAATGCAAAAAATAATTAAAAAACTTACACGTTTCACATATGTAGCAAATGAGAGTTGATTAGCCAATAGGTAATTACGAGTAACCAACAGGTAATCTTGATAACCACAAGGTGCTTTCGGATGGACCTTCACCAGATTATTGACAAGTTCACGCAACTGTTGTAGTAGTGTAGTTGATTGCATCAAAACAAGCCATGCAAAGAATTTACAAATCTCATTAGTACAGCTGTCATACATAAGGAGTTAAATTTATCGAAATATATTTCACTCAAAACAAAGCAATCATTACAATGTTTCTGTTAACACTTCCCCAGCAAACATTACACTATTACAAATACTACTACTGATAATACAATACTACTTAAATGTATCCCCATTCAACAACCAACCAACCAGTCAACATTCATTATCAATAACACTAACTGACTGAAACCACTTACATTCTTGTTCAGTTCAGCAGCTTTGTCATATGGATTTTGAAATTTCAACAACTCAACATCTTTACGATCTTCATCTCCAGGAGCAGAGGGACAAAATAAATAACTCATATCACAATCTGCTTCACTATAGCATCCACCTATCTGTTCCGCTAATGACGATGATGATGGAGTTGATGTTGTTATTCCTGCTGCACCTACTGTTGTTGTTACCACCGTCGTCACTCCTACTTCGGAGACTGATGACACGACATTCACATCATTCGATCCATCCATATTCAATGTCACAACTGACACAGCAGTTCCACACATCTCTAGTTTCCCATCCACTTCCATTTTGTTGCTGTTATCATTGTCAGTAGTGGTAGTAGTAGTAGTAGTAGTAGTAGTAGTAGTAGTAGTAGTAGTAGTAGTAGGAGTAGGAGTAGGAGTAGGAGTATGAGTGGTAGTAGTAGCAGTAGTATTAGTAGAAGAAGAAGTGGTGGTAGACGATGAAACAGAATGTCCTCCTTCCATTTCAGAAACACAAGTCATATGCACATCAGTAGTATCTTTATCCGTCAGCACTGTAGACTGAGAGCTCCCGACAGACACCTTCTTCTCTTCATTATCCATGTGACTGTCACTTTGAGAAGAAGCAGTCACAGTTGAACAACCATGTGTATCTTCAATCACATCCATGTTTACAACAGCATTTGAAGACAACGACACATTAGAAGATTCAGTTGACGAACCAGCATGAACAGTTGTTACAGGTGAATTATTTGCATTTACTGTCCCAATTCCACCACCACTACGACTCTGTTGACTGATATTCTCATGATTTGTCACAGTATCCGAACGAGAACGAAGTTTACGCTTCTTAATCGGAGTAGCGTCATCCGCTAAATAGAGAAAAAATAGTGTCATCAACGTATATTAATTACATTCTACTAAACTGACAGAAAACATCACCACAATCTCACTGACTGTATGATCACTATTCACAGATGAGTTTTATGCTCCAGAATGCTTCCATAAACGATGTACGACTTCCTAACATAGAATCGAAGCTGTTACCAAGCTTCCCATCAATCACTTGTTTCTTTCCAATAAACACCAATATGAAATGTTCAAGAAAAATAAAGTCTTACTCACTTTCGGTTTTATGCGAGCTACCTTTCTGTAGTATTTCACCACTTCAACTACAATATTTTTCCCTTGGCAATTTATTCTCACAATATTCTTGTGTCATTATGTGTGATGATGATGACGATGCATTTTCTAATGCCCTATAGTACCAAAGATTGGCTGACCAACTGACTGAGTTATACATTTTTCATATATTCACATAATCAAATAGAAATTTAACTCTTTTGGCAGCAGACCAATGTGCATGTATTAAACTCGAGATTATTACCAAATCGAACCATTCATCCATTCATCTATCCATCCATTACACTACAAACATCAATCAATCAACACGACCGTTGTTGCTACCTTGAAGTGGTGGTCGCGCTCGCCTATCGTGATGAAGCAACCGAGCTATACTGGTTGGAACAATCGTTCCTCAAGGTCCTACCATGTCAGACAGGTCGGTTGAAGAGTGGTAAGACTAAAAGCAACAAACCCAAGGTCCGAAGGCAAAGTCGTACTGATGACTGTACAGAGGTGTGGCAGCAGTAAGGTGTTTCCTTCAGACAACCAGCACAACAGCGATGCTGCCTTCCCACAAGGAGGGGTGGGGTTAGAAAAGGTCGACCCTACAAATGCACACCTCACCTTATCCCACGGATATCCGTCTCCGGCGGTAAAGTCTCAACAAGTACGGAGCTAACACAAAAATTACCCATAAAAACGTCGTGTGTGACCGACCTCAAGCAGTTGTCCCTTGGGCACTGCGGTCACGCTCTCAGGTCACTAAGACCACCTCTAATCCAATTTCCTTTTCAGGTACCTCTAGAACAACCCTTCCACGGTGTGGGCAACCGGGAAGTGATAACCGCCCTCATACCTCTCACGGCACTCAAGACCACTGTATTCATAATCAACCTCCGTCTTCACTTCCTATTATTCCTCCTACATCGACTTTCACATTTAAATTTCCATTTTCGGCTTCCCCCTCAAGTGTCACCATAGCCAACGATTCTAGTGCTCAAAACACTATCCCAGGTCTACTGAAACCTCGATCCACACTACACATTGGAGCCTTCAACGTACGCACCCTATGTCAAATCGATCAACAGGCTTCCTTGGCTAGAACCCTAGAATCTCGTACCATCGAGGTATGCTGTGTCTCTGAAACACGCATACAGGATCCCAGTGTGGTCATTCACCTGACCTCACCTCGACAAAACGGAGAGCCAACGAGATACACCCTTCGTGTATCTGGTGACCCGACGGCCAGCTCTCGTGGACTGGCAGGAGTAGAGATAGCACTAAGCATGAGGGCGGAACAAGCACTGTTAGAGTGGATCCTCGTTAACAGTCGTTTATGTGCTGTTCGGCTAAACGGCTCCGCAAGAACTCGGAAGGATAGGGACACACGTAGTTGCCTTTTGGTCGTTTCTGCCTATGCTCCCACCGACTGCAGCCCAGATGAATTTTACAGAAAGCTATCTGGACTTCTTCAGAAAGCTAAATGTTCAGACATAGTACTCGTAGCCGGTGACTTTAATGCCCAGATAGGTAGTTTAAACCAAACAGAAAGGCATTCAGGTGGGTATTTTAGTATTCCGGCACAACGAACAGACAATGGTGATCGTCTGCTGCAGCTGTGCTCAGACAACCGTTTATTTTTAGCAAACACAAATTTTAAGCATAAGGAGAGACATCGTCTAACATGGCGACCCCCTACGTATGCCCAAACACCGATTACCACGACGTGCAATGCTAACCGGTGTTCGGGATGGTTGGAAGAAAGTTAGGGATGGCCAAACCAAAACGTGGCATCAGTGCTTGAAGTCACTAACTTGTATTCTGAGCCATGTTGGTAGATGCAGACTACTTGGTTGGGGTCCGCGTGACTATCGTAACCAATGGTTGGAGACTCTTGGTGACAAGGCTCAGAATCGATCACAGTGGCGTCGGTGTATACACTCTCTATCTTCTCTTAAACTAAGAGATTAAAATCGCTTAATATCTTTCTTTCTACGAACTAATTCTTTCTTCCTGTACAATATCCTTATTGCAATCATTCCTTTATATATCACCACCTCTGAATTAACTACTTTTATGAATCCGGTGTTCATCTTGTTGTGTTAATGAGGTATGGCAACTTGGACCGATGCATAAATGTGCCTGGTCCTACGTTCTAGCTGACTGACTGACTGACTGACTGAATCAACACGAATAAAAGCAAAACTATGAATATAATCTAGTTAGTAGATGATTACTTCTTTGCTGTCGCGTCTCACCCACTTAATACAGGGTAATTCATAAGTCCCAAACTTTATAGTACTAATGACACATACACAAATCTTCCATCACACTCCTCTTTCTACCTTATCAAATCAACACCAATTTCTTCTACAATTCGTCACAAACTGTTTCCTGTCAGTAAACAGGAATTGGAATCAAAACATTACAAACACTGAACTAACAAAATGCTTACTGTGACGTTCCTTTTCTTCTTTTTCACGTTGAGCAGCTGTATGTGAACGTAATGTACGCCCACTACGATGTCGATGAGTATCCTACAACATCAATACATGAAGAACGAAATAATCAGACAAATTGAAACAGATTCATACTAAATGTAACAAATCAAAGTGGAATTTCACCTTCAATCGAGTTCATCATCGAATGAAGGGGGCAGAGAGAGTTCAGTCAACCACAAAATATACAACAGGTTCATTCCATTAACAGTCAAAATCAACACAGGACACGAACAATGATAACAGTTATCAACACATCAACACAACATTCAAACCACTACAGTCTGTCTGAATTTATCACACATGCATTAAAAAGTTAACTTTTGATGAAGTCGGAAATCTTCCATACAACTCAACAGTCCATCCTAAGCAACAACATTATCAATATATTATTAACCAAAGCTGGACTATGAAAATAAAGGACACAATCATACGATCTGCGTGATGACTGTTCGCCGCATCCAATTATTAATGTAACCCTCATCCCGCACCGAATCACATCAATTCATCTCAGCTTTTTAGAAAAAACACCAGCATTATGCCTCAGATTCATAGTCAAAACCTACCAAAAACCAACTAAAACACTTACACATTTAGAATGGATAAATTTCTCCCGGAAGTTATTCGGATCAAATACCATCTACTTCCTCATCAATAGCTACATCGAACCACACTTCAGTACGTTCAGTCACAATTACAACATTCAAGTGACTAATACAACTACGTACATCAACAAACATACAAAAACACGTAAACTCACTTTCGACACTTCTCGATTACCATTATTCGTATTATTACTATTATTATTACTTCGATTGTGCGTGTGGTTGTTGTTGTTGTTATTATTATTACTATTATTATTGCCACTCTTTCCATGACACTCACTCGTCTCCAGCGTATTATCCATCTTCACCCGATTAGCATTACTTGCATTACTACGATTGCTATTCATCTCAACAGTGTTAACACCACTCGTAATATTCACACTAGTGTTCATCCCAGCACTAGTGATACATGTTGATGGGGGAGTACAAGATATGGACAACTCTGTACTCGATTCGTCATGGTGTACATTCGTTGCAACAACATGATCACAAGACTTAGATAACTTCTCATGGTAGCTAGAATATTGATCGTGCACAGTTTCGGTAGTGCCGGTAGCAGTAATGGTGGTAGTAGTACTACTGCCGCTGTTACCGTCACCGATATTCTCCACGCTTGAACATGAAACTTTGTCAGGAACTAGAGCATTCAATGAAACGACACTCGTCGAAACCAGAGAAGTGACAGTGACTCCAGCCTCCTTACCATCACTTTTGTTATTCACAGTCATCAAACCATCATCAGATACACGAGGTTTCACGTCGCATTTAACATTCATATTCGACTCATTATTCCAATTATTCTCCACATTATTAATAGGATGAATTGCCAATCCACCACCAGTTGCTCCAACTGACATGCACGACGACGTCATTGATGATGACTCATCTCCAGAAGTACCCGAAGCAAATTTTATGCGTAAAGGAGGAACCTTCTGTGCCGAGATTTCTTCGCCTCCTGATGACTCTGAATGGCATGATGTAGACACCTGTCACAGAGAATTAACAGAAAAGAAAAAGCCCGTAGACACACGTGAATACAAACAACAAAATAATCATCATACTCCAAAAATTCAGTAGGAAACTGTCTAAACTATAGAAAGTGGCCCGACCGTTGTTGTTACTTTGAAGTGGTGGTCGCGCTCGCCTATCGTGATGAAGCAACCGAGCTATACTGGTTGGAACAATCGTTCCTCAAGGTCCTACCATGTCAGACAGGTCGGTTGAAGAGTGGTAAGACTAAAAGCAACAAACCCAAGGTCCGAAGGCAAAGTCGTACTGATGACTGTACAGAGGTGTGGCAGCAGTAAGGTGTTTCCTTCAGACAACCAGCACAACAGCGATGCTGCCTTCCCACAAGGAGGGGTGGGGTTAGAAAAGGTCGACCCTACAAATGCACACCTCACCTTATCCCACGGATATCCGTCTCCGGCGGTAAAGTCTCAACAAGTACGGAGCTAACACAAAAATTACCCATAAAAACGTCGTGTGTGACCGACCTCAAGCAGTTGTCCCTTGGGCACTGCGGTCACGCTCTCAGGTCACTAAGACCACCTCTAATCCAATTTCCTTTTCAGAGACCTCCAGAACAAACCTTCCACGGTGTGGGCAACCGGGAAGTGATAACCGCCCTCATACCTCTAACAGCACTGATTGACTGACTGATATAGCATGACTAAATGGAAGCGAATTCCTTTGTAGGACTAACATCTATACATCAGCTCATTCGCCATGTACTTGATTATGAGACACACTCTTAGAGTGACGGCCAATGTACTACCCAGTAGCCCAAACCCAAATGGGTGGAGCACGGTTTGAAACTGTCATTTAGTGGCTGAAAGTCGAACACCTCAATCACTACACCAACGTTCCGAATCTGCAGGACTACAAAATACAAATACACACAATCTCATAACAAATTCTCTACAAAACAAACAACGATCACAAAATATATTTACAAACTCAGACAATTAAATTAAAGACATAAACTCCTTTCCCTTACATTCATTCTAGTCAATATTGTAGAAATGCTACATTCAGAAACCCATTAAAATACCTAACACACACATATACACAACTCTATCATGGTAGGAAAGTATAATCATTTTCCCGACAACGACGGTAAACATGAGCTGTCACATATTCTTATCAACCTTATCACATTCCCATTCATTCATTAACACTTAGTGGTAACACTAGTCAGAACTTGAAATAGTATGTTTATTGTGACATGAGGTGTCCGATAGTTGATACTGATACACAAACTTTTCATATACCAGCTCAACCGGTCAGTCAGCTGCAACATAGGACCAGGCACATATATACAAGTTGCCACACCTCATTAACACAATAAAATGGTCATCAAATCCATAGGAGTAGTTACTTCAATGGTAGTAATATATATACTCCAGTGAAAACACTGACACTGAAAAAGGAAGTTTATTGACCACACCGAATCGACCGTGTGTGTACACATTCATACATAAACATATTTATTCCAATAGTTGAGATCACGAGTCAATTGAAGCTAGACCACCATGGAAAACCTGGAGGCAATGGACGGCCGTTTCGTCTTGTTGTGAGACTCCTCAGCATATATTTATTCCTCACAAAATTAAGACACCACTAGAGTATATCACATCTCTTAGCAATAAAAGACGTTTCCTGCTTAATCAAATGTACTAATCATTTGGCCGATTTCTGATTGACTCAATTTACCAGTGTTATTGTTAGTATTGAGGTTATTCGCCCTTTGATACATCACTTCACAATACCCCTCTTACAAAAATTCTAGAAGCATCCCAATAATTGTAATCATACGAAGAATCAGGACAAAAACAGTAACCCATGGTGACAATGATGAATATACTGTCGAAAATAGTCCTTAGATAAATACCCCCACTGCTCATCATCTTACAATTAGAGTACTGAGCAATAACCACAACAGTAGAATGTGCGATAAATGGAAATATTCATGTGTAGATACACGTCCAACTGATCGAAACAACCAATAGACACAGAATGCAGTCACAGAGGTTTCACTTCCTGTCAAATTCTTCATCTCCACAAATAACGAGCAATATTAATCACTTGTGTTTGCACTAAATTACAGAATAAGCAAATTCCAGTTCATCAGCTCACAATTGCACACCGCGACACTTAGACTACTCAGACAGTACAACTCCAATATTCACAATACACAATCCAAAACAATCACTCGTATTTAAGCAATCCTACAATTCTCAATCTAAATGGTTTATTAAAACCCAACAGGTGAAACAAAGACAATTAGAACAACTGAGTCGTTAATTAACCAAACATTGTGCAAAAACACATACTTATGTACATACATACAAAGCAACGATACATTTCCTGATCTAAGGCTTTCGTTCTCACTCACGGACACTACGGCATACACTTCTGACAATTTACTATCTACAGAAAGTGCAGTCACGAGACAAACGGACAACGGATGCTTGATATATAACAGAACGAGTGTTTTAGCATCTACTATTCTATCCCCAAAACAACTAAGCCCAATTACTGTTTTTAACTCACAATAACAAGATAGGGAGATGGGGGTACAAGTATGAACCATAAATTAATGGTTACAAAATTAAGATGGGATACAAGTCACCGGTCAAAAAGTACATAATCATGAGCTCGGCTTCGTGATTCACACTTTCGCTGTGTGTCTGACTGCTAGCATTACCACTTATCCGCTTTCAACATACCCGAAATTGGTTGAAAAGTGAATGTTTAAACTTAGAATAATAACCTGACCAACATCCAGGTTCACAAACTCGTAACTCAACAATGTCAAAAATCCGAAAACGGATTCTCACATAACCAATGTCAGTCATTGTACGCATGTCAATAAGAAAAAAGTTACTCAATTACAAACAACGGAACTGACAAACAGAACACACTAAATCGGTCAAACACACACATATATATACACACATTAACACTCCCATAGTAGTACTTCAACGACAGAGCTCATACATTAGACAGAAAAACAAACAAAGTAACAAACTGGAAACCGTGATTAAGCAGTCAGGAGAACAGCCAAATTAACACACACACACACATTCACATGTCAATCAATAACCACAACAGAAGATGAAATAAGTTATCAGCAATCGTTCTGAATGAACTATTGAGAGATCAGTCTTTAATAAGTAGTTCACTAGTCACCAACATCCCACCATTCAAATCACTTCATTACCACGAAATTACAACTACCACATGTTCATATTTCGACATCAATTATTAAACAGTGAAGTTAAACTATTTCTTTACCAGACAAATACAACATTCAACAACAAATCTATGACCAAATATTCACGCCCATTGTCATAGAAATCTCAAGCATAAAACTCTGACTAACATGACATCACTATTAAATAAATAAATAAATAAGATAATGTCTACATTTGACTACCCTGCACACACACACACACACATCTAGCTGTTTTATATCGACCTACAATCCACAAAATTTAATCAGCAAATCCACCCAACACAGTATTAATCGGCTGGTTAGTAGATTGTACAAAATAAGCACTCAAGAACAGTTACAATTATTGTCATAATAATTGACTTACATGATTCAATTCTTCATCACCCGATACGGTGATTGGCTCACTTTTTATCGTCATCGATGTACCCATATTGGAGTTATGCTCATTACTGACATTATCGCTACTATTATTATTATTATTATTATTGTTATCAATATCCATTTGAAAATTCATGTTCTTGTTATCGTTGTCGCTATCACTAATGACAGTGACATGAGATGCTTCAGTTGTTGTACAAATAATTCCACTTGATGAAGGAACAAGATTTGCATCACAACTCGAAAGGGATAAATCAATCTGTTGTTGTTGATGTTCCATCAAGGTATATTGACCGGCTTCTTTTGCAAAACGAAGCCGAAGTGGAGGCCCACCAATACTAGCACAGTTGTTGTTACTAGTTGTGTAATTGCTACTATTATTGGGAACAGTAGTTGTAGTAAGAGCACTATTGATTGTACCAGTCAATGTCGTCAATGTATTATCGTTATTACTATCCAAAGTGGTATTTCCACACTCCACAGTTGTTGACAAATTGGAAGAAGACAGTTGGCGTGTGTGCTTTGAAAGTGAATCAATACTACCAAGACTGATATTACTATTTGGACTAGTATTCGTATTTGTATTGACAGAAGTAGTAGTAGTAGTAGTGGTGGTGGTGGTGGTGGTAATAGCAGTAGTAGAAGAAGAAGAAATGGTAGAATTGGAAGAAGTTGACTTATTCAAATTGGCTGGACCACCAACACTAACACCACAACCAGAATGAACTCCAATATGTCCTGTTGCCTGTGTATTGGTATTGTTATTATTATTAACACCAGACGCAGAATGAAGTAGTGAGTTCCCAGAATTGTTCACCGTCTCATCATTCTCATCATCTTCAAACGCGTAGGGATCTTTCTTCACTAGATAGAGACAAACATGAGCACGTACAGAAAGACAGAGATCACAATTAGCAGTTTAACTATCTCAACAAACAACTTGTATGTTACTGTTATTATTGGTAGTATTATTTATGTACTACTGTCGTGCACAAACACATATATATGTCCCACCTTTTGTCTCTTCTAGTAAGTAAGTGATCACACACTCGATCAGTGTTATAGTGAAAATATTTTCAATGTGGAAACCACAAAAATAGCAATAACAACAATTATGATAGTATTTTTCCAAGTAACTTCACATTTGACTTGTCATGAAAAAAGTACTCCATAGGATGAACAATATGGTCATTTACACGCTCACACCAACGTTACTACTACAGTAGACATATGCAAAAACACTGAAACTATTTAAAAACTAATGCGAAGACTCTTACGTGCTTATTTATTGGCATAAAAATTGTTTGTATGCAACTGCTGGTAGTGAGTGTTTACCTTCATCGTCCCCTCCCTCTCCTCGCCATCGTCTCTACGTAAGCGCATACCTGCATGCGCAAGTGCATCACAAGTATGTACACTTGACTGTTACTACAATAAAAGCGAAAGAAACTTTCCAAACCCCTGACCGACAGATGAGTTAGTGTACCTATGACTGCTAAACACAACACACAACCCATACCAGATAGAAATATACTATTACTTACTACCACTACTACTACCATTACCATTACGAATGATAAGTCGACTGCAACGGACATATACAGATATACAAGCAAATACAACAACACAAACACCAAATAGCCAACCCATGCTTCGTACCTACTACAAACAATGACAGACAAGCATAAACACATGGTAACAAATGACAACTTCATCTAGTCACCCATTTGTACAAACATCTAGACTAGTTGACTGCTTGTTTATGCACGCGCACACATGCGCGTTTCACAGACAAGAGATTAATGAAGGCAAATGCCACTACTGATGATAACTTAGCATTTGTTAACAGTAAACACTAATGTTCAAATGACATACAAACATGGGGAAATATATACACAAAACATCTCGTGATCCTCATTGGTTGCTTACATACCACACGAAATATGACATTAATGCAAATGAAAACATTGAACTTAAGTCAGCTGAACAAATTAAGACATTAAATAATAAAGGTTGATTCAGCGAAGAGTTCTCTTTTCGGCGAATTCATTTTTCAAAGCTGTACAGTCGCATATATATATATATATATATATATATATATATATATATATATATATATATATATACTTATTTTTCAAGATGATAATAATGACAATAATAGTGATAATAAACTTTTGTTAAATATAATAGCAGTGAGATAGAATAAACAAAGGTATTTAAAAAAAATTTTAATACTGGAAACCAATAGTTTTATTGTTAAGGGTTTAAATATTCATCATAAAGATAGATAGGAAAATTATCATTGGGAAAGGATGGCTTAGTGTGATATGATCAGATGTAATCAGAAGGATCATAGAAGCAGGAAATACTTATCAAAAAATGGGTGTCCTTCGATATTTATTGACGAGAACAGAAAACCTAAACCACCTAAAACATAAATAACATTAGTCGAAAAGAAAACACCACATGAACATCGATTTTAAGGGTGATAAAACTACAAACGTCCTAAAGAAGAGAATTTCTGAGTCTTTAAAAAGAACGTTATTCGCAGCAACATTGCGAATCGTGTTCTCCAGCCGATCGTTGTCCATCAATAATCTTAAAGATAAATTATCTCATCTGATATGCATTTACCAATTCACCTACTCGTGTGGAGCCAGGTATATAGGTCGTTCGATGAGTACTTTATACAAAAGAATTCAAGAACATTCCCTAGCGTGGCTAAGAAGAGGAAGAAACGGCTCAATAATCGAAAACCTTGTGAACACAGGTCATTCAATCAAGACAGACTCTGAGTTAAAAGTAGAAGGCTGCCAAAAGCAGTTATATTGCATCTTCTTAAAATTGCCGAACCAATAGTCATACATCTGAGCAAACCAGAATTGTGTCCAAAGTAGATTGGTACAACCTCTTCCTCTACATGGTCTTAATATGTCTCATTTTTTCTCTTCTCCATACTTTCCTTCCTTTACAACCATCTGCTTCCCCTTCCATCTTTTCCATGAACCTTCTACCCCCGACTGGTTTATTTCTGCTTCTATGATCCTTCTGATTACATCTGATCATATCACACTAAGCCATCCTTTCCCAATGATAATTTTCCTATCTATCTTTATGATGAATATTTAAACCCTTAACAATAAAACTATTGGTTTCCAGTATTAAAATTTTTTTTAAATACCTTTGTTTATTCTATCTCACTGCTATTATATTTAACAAAAGTTTATTATCACTATTATTGTCATTATTATCATCTTGAAAAATAAGTATATATATATATATATATATATATATATATATATATATATGCGACTGTACAGCTTTGAAAAATGAATTCGCCGAAAAGAGAACTCTTCGCTGAATCAACCTTTATTATTTAATGTCTCAATGAATGTATTCCGTTCACTAAAAAATAAAGATAAGCAATATTCCAAAAATGTAGAACAAGCATTAATTTCAGCTGACTGCTGGGTAACGTTAACTAGACAAATACGTAAGAGATGACATAAATCAAATCTGACACCATGACAATCCGACTGTGTGATAAGAAGCCACTAGCCGATGGACTTTTGATTCATATAGTAGAACTGCCGGCTACGAAACATCCCTTTCATCTCAACAAACTAGTATAGATGCATTCATCTCTCGTTTTCCACGAAATCTTGACTCTTAGCATCAATTCATACTCGACATCTTACTATCTTATTCTTTCTTTTGAAGCATTCTTCCTACCGTGAGCTTCTATCACCACAGACATATAATTCCCGCAATAAACATGTCTATCACATTCCACTATGCTAACAACTAGTAAGGTATATACGGCAATCACATAAGTCCCCACCTACCTTTCACAAAACTCAGCGGATAACAAATAGACAGTTTTGTAAGGTCATAATTAAGGGGAGCCTAGTTACTTATCACTCACAATACATTCATTAGGCATTATCTGATAATGGTGATAGTCATAATCACAATCAAGTGAAAAATACACTGAACAGAGCTCATTTCGTTGTTTTTTTTTCCAACACCAACATATTTGGAGCTACACATCACAAACCTCCACTTCATTAATCACTTCGAAAATTGGTGAGTGAAGCATAACATTTGATAATCAAGTGAGACACTTGCATCTATACAACGATGAGCAAATCTATATATTCTCATGTACAATCTGAGCAGTATGTCAGTTGATTTTGATAGCTGTTGCAAAATTCACTATATATAACACAGACAAGCATTGAGATCTGTGAATAATTACTGGAATAGTACACCATAATATTGCATAAAGTTTACAACAAAGGATAAGCCAAACAGTTTGTAATAAGAGGGGGATATGTAGAAGCATACATGCGTGAAAAACACTCACATGACTTTGCTGAAGAGATGTGCACATCAGTTACGGATTTGGGTACAGACGACAATGATGGGCTAGATGTTGGATGGTTATGATGACCGGTAGATGATAAGCAATTCAAATCTAACTGCTGGTTAGTATTAATAGGACTAATATTATGGTGAGATGTATTGGTAGTTACACTCAAACCTGAATGCGAATGACCATCATCTTCTGAGTCTGAACAAACATTTGATGGACTTGCTATACTACTGTTATCTTTACCCCCACCACCATAATATTCAGTAGAACTGGATATTGTCGTACCAGAAAAAGAAGACATCAGATGTTTTGTACCGTGTGCATGTTGGCGAACTTTCGAATGTAATGATTTCCCAGAACCAGACGATGTTAACATGTGTGATTGGTTAGTTTCAGTATGCTGAAAATATAAACACAATAACAATAAAGTATATCCAGGAAACAGTAAAACTTGACCAATTAGTGAAGAGATTATATGTATATGGCGTATGAACTGACTCGAATGACTATTGGTTTAAGTTGCCAAATTTTACATCAGTGTAGGGACAGGAAGTTCAAAAAACGAAAAACAGAGTCGAAATAATAATATTAATAGTAGTGGAAACCAAATACATAAAGTACGTTAAGAAAAGAATCAATCAAATCAAAAGCGGAAAGCAACAAAACTGAAACTCAAGATTTAGATGAGAATAAGTCACAATAAACGAAGAGGAAGACAAGCAAATCACCAAAAGCGAATGAAGGATACAAAATAATACTTGAATGTCCAACACTTACAAGATGTTGAGAAATGTGTACACATTCATCATTACAACTAATTTCGACTCATCACCTAGTTAACAAACAACATAGACAGACTACAGTTGTCTCACAAACAACAATCAAGGAGCCTGAATGGCTCAGATTAATAGCCATTGACTTCATGAGTTGACCTTATAAATCGATTTAGTTGCTCCTAACCTGTTTCTACCCTATATATATACTAACCTCCATGGAACACTGGTGTAGTCAGTGGCTGATCAAGCGTTACATATGCACCAACCCTCTCACAGCCAGTGAAAGTTCATAATCTCACCAACCTATGCAACACTTTTACTTAGTACGCTAAATGCAACATCACCATTACTCACTCAATGTTCTCCATTAACGACAGCGATGACGTATATACCTATGATCAAATAAGCAATCGGGAAATAAAAATTATACTCGACAAAGAGGGAAATCACTTTAATTCACATAATACAGTTACCACATTTACAAAGTACTGTTTAGTTGACCATAATTAGATAGGTTGACACGACCAACCAAATTAAGCAACCATCTATCAAATGTACATCCCATTAAGTGAAAACCAGTTGGCAAAATATAGGCAACGATCGTGTCGAAAGATAAAGGTTCAAATTTGAGAGACAATGAATTTTCCAAATGTTGAACACACTCATGCACCTTTCTGTGATACAACGAATGGATACAAAAATCCAACCTCACAACTGCCTCCTTGCCATCATCGAACTGTAGTTCCGCATTCTCCTGATAACATAGTCCCTTAAGTGACCATGATCTGGCCTCGTCTTAAGTGTAAAGGCTACACAAATAAGGATGTCAATCAGTAAGCATCAACGTAGGGCCTGTAACAGATATATACCGGCCCAAGTTGTCATAGCATAAAAGTATCACCGTAAGTTTTTGGAGTGTCTTAAAAAAATACTCAAAGGTACAATTCTTTCAAGAAACTGGTCTGCTTGATAAGCTCCTGATATTCCTACGACACAATCCTTTCTACAAAATGTAACCTTTAAAAAATTACATCCAAAACATACTTGTTTGAGAAAACTGGATACCTCAGGGTCATGACACAAGTCCAAAGGTTTCTCACCCCTGTGGTTCGACACCAAAGGGTCGGCGTTGTAGTATATGAGCGCTCGAACAATACGCAGACATCCTACTCGCGCAGCACAATGAAGTGCCATTTCACCGCTTATGTTTGAGATACTAGGATCAGCTCCATGTCGTAGCAAATAATCAACCATACGTGGAAGGTTCCGCACACATGCTTCGTGCAATACAGTCCAACCTACAAATTTAAGTGGAAATGCATGAAGAACAGCCCCTGTGATAAAATGAAATACGAACATGCATCAGTGATCGAAACAAAAGTCCGGTGGACTGAGATTAATGATCAAAGCCAACTATTTATATTGAGATACTAAGGAGTTGTACTTTTAAGTGGTAAATTCCACGTCTAAAAGGTCAAATAGCCTTAACCATAGCACGCACAAATCGTAGATTAATAGACAATAAAAACAGCCAATTAAGTTGGTCCGCTCTAAACGTTTGTTTTATTCTGTCTATACACTGATTTACAACAATATAAAATATACAATTTATCCTGTATAACTTTAAGTCCCATACAGAAACACAATCACACGTTTTCAGTGATATACAACACAATTCCCTCTTTTCCATCGGTACATTTCCTTACCTGTTTCATCTTGCTCGTTTATGTTTACTCCTTCCTTTATCATTTGTTTGATTGAATCCAAATCCCCATTCTTTGCCAAGCGAATTAAACTCACATCTCGAACAGTTAAAGGACGTCTACTATCACGTTTCTCGGATCCTGAAAGTATAGCATGACAATTAGTGTGTGAACAAATACTTTCAAAGTAGGGATTAGAATAATACATGGTCTCAAGCATGATTTGTACTAACGATGAGTTCAATGGACGCAAAAACCAGAAATTACTTTAGTCCCTAGTGGATAGACAATAACTCAGCTAAGCAATACACTCATTAAATAAATTAATAGGCCAGTAATAATTTCGTTTGGAGTTTGTAAAAACCTTTTCACACAAACGATCCATCAATTCAAATAGTCGGATATGTTAGAAAAATGTACCACAGATGTAAGTAGCCTATGAGCCAATTGATAAAATTTAGATACACTTGTCGGTTTACCGTTGGTAAACTGCCCAACCCAGTAAGAAACAGTTTCAACATTAATGAAATATTAGTAAACCAATATCACGAAAGCATCAAATGATATCTAGTTGTAAGACTCAGTTCAAAGTATACGTAATGAACACAAGTCATTCTCCTTGAGACCAACACAACTTAAACGTACAGGATGCAATGGAAACTGGAGTTTACCCCAACTCATTGTTTGTTTGATACAGTGTCTATCATTTCTGATTGCTAGTTTTCCTTGACATCCCATCTCTATACACTGATTACTTACTAAACTCAAGAAATTACTGGTCAATTACATCTCCAAAAATGAATATCACAGAAAAGGTCTGAAAGCACAAACAGTTTCAAACAGGCATTTGTTCTAACGAGTAAACAACATATTATTCGATTCAGTGCTATATCAACTCCAATTGTCACGTATTCATGTATCATGTAAAGTCACACGGATAAATAAACAAAGTCAAAGCAAGACTAGTGGCATGTGCATCATCTAGAGCGACACAAGTATTGGAAAGAGTAAGTCACTGGTACTGATTTAACGCAACAGTGCATAGTGTTCCCAGACAACAATACCATGGATTGTACATGCCAAACTGTATGATATGTTTTAGGTCATGACCTATACCAACAATCAATGAGTAGATTTATCGATAGCCTGTTAGCTTGTCCATTTCAAGGTTAACTGAGCAACGTTTCGCCAAAAACATCCGCACTATATTTCTGATGACATCGTGCTGTTAGTCGATCCCATTTAGAAACCACTACTGGTAGATGTGCTAGAAAAAAAGAAGCTTACATTACTGAGAAGCACTCTGCGTCATTCAATCGAAGAAAACGTACAAATAACATAAACACAGACGTCTATTAAGGACCCTTCGCTAAAATACCAGTAACCATGTTATGTAAAACACTGATACAAGTCAACCATTATTTATAGTCGAACTTACATTGATACCACAGGATACTAGAGATTTCCCACTGACATCAGTAAACATCCAGACTACCAATATGTGTAACAGAACACAGAAAAAAAATCAGCCAATATATTGTGTCACTAATGTTTGCAGATGGTCATAAGAGAACATTTATTATTAGTTATTTTATTTGAACACATAGATATTGGTACAAGGGGGCACCAAATACATATGCGCCACACAGATCTCATTTGATATGTGTGAGGGCTGTGATACTGTCCGGGTGCCCAAACCGGAGCAGGTGGTTTTCTTAGGGGGCCACACCCGGAGCCTTCGACCTGAAGGTCTGATCCACAAGGCAGTGGAGCATCGTAAGGAGATGCAGTCCCATAGTAGCCGGTGACCAACGATTGGTTCATACACAATTTGTTCTTTCAGAATACTGGAGCCCATGTGCACCGTTGGTTTGGGATCCGGTTAAAGCGCCGGACATTCGCTTTCCGTCCTCTCAATCTCGTAAAAAACACCCCCGCCACGAGAAGGCAGTGATTAGAACTTCCCTGGCAGGCGCTGTGTGGGTGTGGCCACGTGAGAGCATTTCGAGAGGGAGGGCTCACCCCACTCTTGGCCATACCAGGGCATCTAGGGACACAAGGGAACATAGGTTAGGTTTTAGGATTAAAGCCCCCTTCAGTACAGCCGAGGGCAGGGAGAGTTCGCCTCCTCTCAAGAGGCTCTCATACGTTCACTCGTACATAGCGACTGGCAAGGAAGTCCTACTCATTTCTTTCTCACGGCGGGGGTGTTGTTTACGAAATTCAGAGTACAAAAAGTGAATGTCCGGACCTTAGACCGGTTTGGTGGGTACGAAGAATCCACCTAAGAGAGTTGGAAAACCCTGATTCTTAACCAACGGTCCACATGGGTCTCAGGTTCATGAGGGAACAAATGTTTTACGAACCTATTCTTGGCCACCGACTACCGTGGGACTACATATACTAACGTTGTCTCAATGACTTGAGGATCAATCTCCAAGTCAAAGACTCGGCGGATGGCTCCCCAAGAAAACCACATACTTGTTTGGACAACAGCGAGGTATTCCAGCTCTCACAAAAATTTTGTGTGGCGCCCATACATGGTGGTGCCACTTTGTACCAATGTTTGCGTACAAGTAAACGAATATAGGACTAAAACGGTTTGTACGTACTGCACCATCCAAAAAATCTATTGGCATCCAATAATTAATCAAGTGCTTAATGCACAATAAAAAGAAGATTCCGGCACACATAAGCTTATCAGAGCCCAAAAAATATACCGTGAGCTCCAAGTCTGATTTTAACGGTCACTGATGGTAGATTAGTGTTATCATAAAGTGGAAATCTAAAACGTATTAAGTCGGTCGTAATTACCACTATCATTGATACTTAACGTGAAGTGATACTGAGACGCATAATACATCCACGTAACTAGTCAATTCCTAAATATTAGTCCGAATTCAACCTTTAAAACACAACAGCATCATGAGACAGAACACAGGCTTACATAAGAGATTATAATCTATTTGCACAAGATCTCAGTGACTGGACATGAGCACAGTTATATCACGACCCTCTAGCAGTACTGACCTTCCTGATCCTTAACCCTTTTTCTTTCGTCCCGGCAACGATCCAGTGGCATCGTCCATTGTTCGAGGTTACAGAGAATTTGAAGGTTAAACTGTCACGATACGATTGGTGCATCCAATCGACAATTCTTTAGGTTTTGCAGAAGCGGTAAAATCGAGACAGTTTTTTAAAATTTACTTGAGTTCAGCTGCACTATTTCTCTGATAGCCTTCATCCTTCAGGTAACGAAAATGATACCTTCATAATGATGCTTGATACAATACTAACCTTAAATGATATTATAAATAATATCGTTACGATAACATGTTATCGTAACGATTTACCAGTTTGGACAATTTTGAGACCTACCTGACAGAAGTACATAAGGCTGCAGGACTTCTGTGAATTATAGTTTGTGGAGATAGGCCTGATAAGCTTATTTTGTAAATAGTTTTTAATATTATTTGTATTTATTTTGTCAATCTTTCACTGTCTGTATATTTTATCATTAAATGATTGTACCTGTTGTTTTAGTAAATGACCTTGAACACACTTTTCCGTTGTGCAACCACATAGCGTGACATGCTCTTACTGGCTAACAAATACACTACTACTCACGCATTCCTCGTTCTATCTTCGTTTGTGATTGAGTTAACTGAAGTCCAAATCAAATACTATCTACGTTTATAGACTGTAGTTGGAGTATATCACATCCTACGTTGGATTATATCACTGGAGAGTTCGTCAACCAGATCGGAATTACCAATTTCTTTTCCTCTTTTATTGTTAACATACCTAGGTTCCTGCCTGGAAGATTTCGTGATCCCCTGCTACTAGACACGGAAGCCTGTTAAGCGAAAGCTTCTTCTATTCCGTCCACAACCATTTGAACCATTTGAATTTATTGTTAATTTTTGGTTAATATACTTTTTGGTCAACCACAATTATTTGGTGAGCCTCGTGTTATTCTAACTGTTATATGATTTACCATTTCACACGATATACTGGTTCATTTTCCTCGTAATGTCCTCTCCCACCAAACTCATTGATACTGATTCGCCTCCGGTAACAACTTTTGTCTCATTTTCGAACTCTTTGCAACCACCTGGACCAGCAGATATTAGTTGTTTAGCCTCCTTTCAAAAGCAGTTAACGCAATTAATGAGCCAGCTGGCGTCACTGCAGTCGACCATAGCAACCATCCAAGCTAGACAATCGAGGTCCCCCTCCAAACGAAGATTTGTTTCGAGACAACGGTCTCGGTCACCGAAGCAAACATCCGAAGCTTGTTGATACCACTATAGCACGGCGTTGCACACGACCGTGCACATTTTCTGCGGCTGACACAGAGAATCAGGGAAACGGTCCGGCCAGACAGTGATGGCGGCGCCTGTTTCTGGCCACTACCCGAGCTGTCTATTTCACGTCAGGGATCGAATTTCGGGCTCAGACTTTTTGGTCGATACAGGAGCCGAAATCAGCATTATCCCATTACACCTCTCTCAACAACGGCACTCTCAGAGTACTAAATTGTCTCTAGTCGCAGCCAATAACACAGTCATTAAAACTTATGGCGAACAATCACTTATCTTAGATCTCGATCTCCGCAGACGTTTCACATGGGTTTTCATCGTAGCTGAAATCAAACAACCCATTCTCGGGGCCGACTTTCTCGGTGCTTACAACCTCCTTGTAGATATGGGGAAAAAGAAACTAAATGACACAAACACAAGATTACAGATCAGCGGCACAACTATCTCCAATTACGAACTTCATGGAGTTCGAATGTTAAGACCTGAAAACAAAATTTTCACTGATATCCTGTTGAAGTATGGAAGCATAACCAGAGCTGATTACCAAAGCGAATGCTCCACACATCATGCTCAACACAGTGCAATATAACTAACTTAACTACGTCAGATATATTTGTACAAATGGATGTAAATGCAGTGCATCGGAATCACATTTCAATTTCAGTTTGAAAAGGACATGAGGCTCGGTTGCGTGTGTCAGTCCTAGCAATGGTGGTCTCTCAGTTCGTGAAACTTTCTCTTCAGGCGTAGATAGATGGAGCTTCAATCACGTGTTGGAATTCGGATTTGTGTGGTAAAGACAAAATCCTGTATCCTATGTTATTTCTTTTTCTATTTAGCTTCTGTGAGTGTCCAGTCTTCCCTTAAATGAGTCCATTGAAGGTACGGACAACACTGATTCACGTAACAGGTTCCTAGGATCGAGGATTCGGTATGGAAACCCGTATGCCACGGGTATTTTGTTCATTCTTGGCTTCTCTACTCGTCTGCTACGTCTTCTGAGATATTCCGATCTAGCGGAAGGAAAAAGGGAGGACAAATTAAGTTCAAAATTATTTCTTAGTATTCTGTACATCAAAACCAGATCGCAACTTGGTATCTGATAGGGTAGAGTAAAGAGGTCTAGCTTTTCAAGCCGCTTTTTGTGTGGTAAATCCGGAGATCTGGAATTGCACTAGTAGCTACCCTCTGTATGTTTTCCAGGATGTCTCAATCACTTTTTAAACAGAGGCTTGCAGGGCTGAACACGGTTTTCAAGTTTAGTGCTCACTAAGGTTGTGTATTCTGTGGTGAACGTGGTAGCATCTAGGTTGGTGAATATCCATCTTAAGGCCCATGGAGTTCTAATACCCTGAGCTGCAACACCGTGGAAGTGGGCTGCGGTTTTAAGATCATGACTCACTGTCACCCCATGATCTTTATGAGACAGGACTACAAATGCAGGCTCTTCTCGCATATTGTACTTATTTACCTCAGTACTGGTGTGCATATAGACACACTTAGTCAAGTTGATGGGCACCAGCCACTCTTCAGACCGGCCAATCCCAATAATTAAGTTTGTCTGAATTGCATGTCCTGTGTCTCCTGTTATTTCTTGCCAGATTTTTATATCGTCAGCGTATACCATCATTGGGGACTCCACTATACTTGAGAGAAGATTTCCATACAGTATAGAAAGTAAAGGACCTAGGACAGAACTTTGTGATACTTCATTAAGAACTTTTAGTGTCGATTATTATGTTAAGCCCATATACCTTAATCCAGTTTTCGGACGGCCCATTCTGTTCATTCTACTTAAGTCACGTTCTGACCTTGTTATTTATTTGCTTATCAATCTTGACTGCTTTTATATGGGCGCGTAGGTGTGTGTACATTTCTTATCCCATTACTCATCACATGTCTGTAACTAACTTTTGTGTAACTATTAGTATTGATTGACTCTTGGTTAAATGGCAGTTGGCCTACCAGCCATCTGTTCTCTCTATTCCATTCGCTTTATATGCGAAATATATGTATTCAAAAGTCCATTCTCGTTATTCGACCTGTCTAAATCCGTTATTCACTAACGCGATTAAAGTACTGGCATCCAGGTGGAACACTTGCGAATTACTCTTACTTTCTATCTACGACCTATCAAGAGATGCTTGATTCATTTTAGTAGAGGTCCGATAATGCCTAGATTTTCCAGCATGAAGAGCAGTCTATTTGTTGGCAACTTATCAAATGTTTTACCGAAGTCTATGTAGACAATATCCACTGATTCCCTGTTGTCTAGAACCTTTATGCATTTCTTACTTGTTATAAGGAGATTTGTTGTGCGAGATAATCCTTTTCTGAAATCATGTTGTTCGTTGTTTAAAAAGTTGCTGGTTTCCACAAATGTCATTGTGGTCTTTTTGACTATTTGTGGTGTATGAATGAACTAATGATTCCTTTGTACTTGCTGAATGCTTGATTTCGAATTCTAAATACAGTACATTTGTTTGTGGTTATCTAGTACTTCTTGATCCGATTACGTTATTTCTGAGATTCTTTGTTCATACGATAATTCAAATACTTATAAACACTACAGAATACCGTGAACCTCCTAATGTCATTGAAGGTTGTTCGGAGTCACAAGCGTAGTAGGACCTTTTAAACATGGAATCAAAATGTTTTGTAAGATCTTAACTAAGTTGTTCTAAATTACTGAAAATTCCTGATTTTCACGTTAGAATAGTTTGATAGTTCTAATTGACCTGTGATGAAGACTAACTGAAGTTTTACTGTACATAAAGGCAGACACCAGTTTCAGATTAGTTTGCTTGCTTTAATTTGAAAAATACTAGATCATTAGCAATCAAACCTAGTCGATCACTCTAAGGATAGCCGCAACGTGGTCCATGTCTACTTATTTTGTCTTACTCAATACTTTCAAGCATTTTACGGTTTGTTTGTTAAGCACGTGCTACGTTTTAGTGTGTAATTTTCATCTAGATTTCATCTCAACCATTTGAAGTTATCCGTAACTATGATCTATGAACACCCGCAGCGTAACGGCGATCGACATACCTGGTGAAAAACACGTATGTAGTAAACCTGAGAACACTAAATGAAATCTTCGGTGTAAATTACACACCACAATACAGCACTTAACCACTAAATGAACGAAAAACAACCAAACGTGTTCGGTAAGACAGGTCTGGCGAATAATGAATATGTTGAGGTGTGGTGTTTGGATGAACTAATGATACCTTTGTACTTGTTGAATGCTTGTTTTCTAATTCTAAATACAGTACATTCGTTAGTGCTTATCTAGTACTTCTTGATCAAAATGCTTTATTTCTGGGATTCCGTGACGACGGACCACCGGTGAACTCGAGGAAGCTGTAAGAGGCTCAGAAGGAGCCGAAGACGTTCCATCCAATCACCTTTCGGAAGAATGTTCTAGAATTCCAACGTGTAGCTTCCCGATTGGATAATGCTAATAACCCCCTGTACGCGGATTGGAAGACTGTAATGATGATTTTGTTCTCACTAAAAACTATAAATACCTGACAATTTCGTACTATGTTTGACACTGTTTGGAATAATATTCCTTTCGTTAGTCTTCCGTCTTCTTATTTGCGACTTGGAAGGGTTTGGTGTTCTAGTGCTCAGTTATACGCGGTAGTATCAAGAAAAATCAGCTTTTTCAAGTTATAACATCTGGCGACGGGTTATTGTATCAATATGTCATTTACCTTGGAACAATTTGAAGCCTTACTGGAACGCCAAGAACAGTTCCAGATGCGCATGTTAGAGATGCTAACTCAGAAAATGAACCTGGATCAAAAAGAAGTTACAGATGATCCCTTCAAATCTCATGTTGACCAGATTGTTAATTCTATCCATGAATTTAATTTTGATGGTTCAGCTGGTATTACTTTTGAAACTTGGTTCAAGAAATATGAAGATTTGTTCAAGGTCGACCTCAAAAAACTTGATGGCGCCGCTAAGGTCAGAATACTCTTGCGAAAACTTGGAACTGTTGAACATGAACGTTACAGTAACTTTATCCTTCCAAAGAATCCAAGAGATTTTTCTTTTGATGCAACGATTGAAATTTTGTCGCAAATCTTTGCTGAACAGTCATCCTTGTTTAATATTCGTTATCAATGTCTCAAGATGACAAAAGCAGGTGATGATGACTGGGTGAAACATGCGGGTTTAGTAAACCGTGAATGTGAGCGTTTCAAACTATCAGCAATGACAGAAGA